GTCTTGCATGCATCGCGCGAGGAAGTCTATCGTAAATTTCGGGAAGCCATGCGCGTTGTAGAGAGCGTAGAGATGGAGGACTGCCGCCGTGTACAGCACGCGACGGTAGCTGGCCAGACCCCAGCCTGCAGGCAGAAAAGGGATTAGATAGATAAGGCCGTTGAGTAGCATGAAGACGCGGGGAAGGAAAAGTCGAGTGGCCAGCCGATCCTTGAGGAAGAAAGCTCGCAGATGGGGCAAGAGGTCTCTGAGAGGAGGGCCCCGCATCTCCTGGGCGGCATGGCTAGCTTCGGCGAGCGCCCGAGTGAGATCCTAGTAAAATGAAGTGCGCAAGCATAGAAGCGTTGCCATACGGGGGGGAAGTGAGGGGAAAAACAGACCAAGGCTATCAAGGGGGCGGGTCCTGGAGGGAGCGTCCGCGACGCAACGCCATACATTGCCTTCTACCCAGTCAGGATAGACAGAAATAAACAATACGGGGAAGCAAATATGAGATGGGAGTCCCGAGAATGCATGTGTGCCCACTTAGGAGGCAAGGGTACTGGGGCAAGGTGCGAAAGAGACATTTGAGAGGTACGTGCCGCCCTCCATCCACTCCTCTGCGCCGACCTCATTCCCCTCCAAATAGGTGCCCTTACCGCGTTTCCCGGTGCCTGGACCAGACCTTCAGTATACGCCGCCACCGCTTCAGGATATCGGCCCATGCGGTACATGGCAGCGCCTACGCGGCTCCAGCCTTTTGCGAAGGCTGGCTGGATCTCTGTACATTTCTTGGCATCAGCCAGAGCCTCGTATGCCAGTCCCAGATTTAACCGGGCAGCGGATCGGTTAGAGTACAAAATATGCAATTGATGATCTCCATCCTTAGGGATAAGTTGGATCGCGGTGGTAAAGTGCTCCACGGCTAATAGATGATTGCCCGCCTGATAGGCCTGGTTGCCCTTGGCCTTGGCCTGCGTCCAATCCTCAGTTGCCCCAGCCATCGCCACCGTTTGCACGACAGGATACCCAAAAGATCAATCGTCAATCCCTACAAGTATGGCAAGGCCGAAAAGTCATATCAGGGCTGGAGCCCATTGTGAACGAGGTCGCGAAAACCCACAAAACAAACAGGAATTAGGCGACGTGGAACATGGGACTAGATCAGAATCGCCGCCCCGGCCGCGCTTGCGATAGAGCATTGCAGGACCATACAGCCTATTTCTCCGCACATCGGATGACAATTGCGAGCCCCTTTCGTAGCTTTCGTTAATTTGCTGATATTGTCAGGCGGTACTTGTCACGAAAAACCCTTTAAATGATGCGAACGAGATTTCGGTTGTGTAGTGTGTGTTCCTAAACCCATCAAAAAAGGGTCCCTTTTTCAGGATAGTGGGGTCCAAGATTTGTTCCAACGTGGCAAGTTATGAAATAAAAAATTGTATAGCACAAGGCGTAGTTTGCACCTTTTGGTTTACTATGCTAGGCGGCAAACGGGTTAATGTTTTAGAAGATCTTTCGTAGGGGTGCGTCACTCTATGTTCCGCTTTTCTCAGTATGTTCCTGCCAGCCTAAATGCACAGACGCGAACATAGCATAAGTACAATCCCGTACGCATACAACACAGTTCCAAGCATTTTCAGTGCTCAGATTTGTGAGTACGAGCATCGAAAGAGGAGGACACTACGTTTAAAGTGCATGTTGGACGAGATAACGTCCCAAGATTTTGCAAGCGACTCCTGTTCGTCTGGGCTTCTCTTGCGTTTGAGAGGCATAAAACATTGTCGTGGAGCCTGAAGTCCTATACCTGCCACGTGCGGGAGGCCTCAGTTCCTATCGCAGCGAGGCAAACGCCGAGGACAGGCCGCGGTTTGGCCGTAGCTTTTCGGACGGAAGAACAACCTCCGAAGGTAGTAGGGCCAGTGTGACAAGTAGCCGCAGAAATCAAGGTCGAATCGTCATGCAAGTCGAGCGGATAAGGGACCTTAGGCGCTGCGCCCTCAACAATTACGTGGCCCGCCATGTGTCGCCCTTGTCTCCGTCCCTGAGACTGAGTGCTTCTGCCGTTTCACTTTGCCCCACAAGCGAGGCAGAAACTTCCGAGCAAGATGCATTGCTAACTTCGTCGCCCCACAGCCTGCAGAGCCCATCATGGGAAGCGCCAGAAGACATGGCGGCCTTTATCATGGAAGTCCCGGTCCCAGCTAGAAGCTGGTTGTCAGAGATGGGCCCGCGCCTTACCGAGAGCGCGTGTACTGTGTCACCGCTCTCCTCGCCCTCGCAGACCTTCGATCCCACGGCCTCGGCTCTGGGGTCCGCCGTCTCAGGCATGCCCCTGGACTCGGACGAAGAGGCCACACAGGTGTCCCTGAGCGCTCTCCCAGCTGCCCAGGCTCCGGGGGGCGGAGTCCCTGCGGGGCCAGTCTTCTCGCTGCGTACAGCAGCCCCAGCCAGGGAGCGACTTAAGTCCTCATCAGTTGAATGCATTGGCAACCTCTAGGGCCTAGGGCCACTCGGTCTCAAAGCTAGCTTGAGCGGGCTATCTCCATAGCGGCCACGGCGCGTGAGCCCCTGCCGCGCGAGCAGCGGGATTCCTACCCCCCAAAGCTTGCTTCAGCCAAGCAACCGCGCCCGGCCTTCGATATCCAGATTCCGACCTTGTCCTCCGCCTTGGGTTCGGGCCCCAGCAGCGCACCTGCGGCCGGCATAAGTAACCGGAGCTACTTGTTCGCGGAAGGCGGCAGTGAAGGCGGGCGTATCCGGGGCAGCTTTGGTCAGTGGCAGGAGGCTCTCAAACTTCTCAGCGAGATGGCGCAGGACGGAGTCGCCGCCAATGAGGTGTGCTATAACTCGGCCATCTCGGCCTGTGGTAAAGCAGGGGAGTGGGAGAAGGCGGTGGCTCTCTTGCGGGAGATGCGGGATGGTGGTCTGACTCCTGACGAACTCAACTACAACTCCGCCATTTCGGCCTGTGGGAAGGCTGCCCAGTGGGCCCATGCCATTCGCCTGCTCCGAGAGATGGCCGTACAGGGGCTCTGCCCCGACGTTGTGTCGTACGGCGCGGCCATCGACGCCTGTCGAAAGGCTGGCAAGTACGACAGAGGGTTGGCGCTCTTGGCGGAGATGCGGGACGTGGGCCTGGTGCCTAACGAGGTCTGCTACCACTCGGCTGTCACAGCCTGCTCAGAGGCCGGGCGGTGGAACGAGGCCCTTTTTGTGCTCTCGGAGATGGTCAAGCAGGGTCTCAAGCCGGACGCGATCAGCTACAATGCTGCCGTGGAGGCCTGCGCCAAGTCTGCCAAGTGGGACGCCCTGATCATCCTCCTGCAAGAAACCAGCCGCGACCCGGATGTGACGCTGGTGGAGGCCGTCTACAACAACGCGATCATGACATGCTCTAAGTACGGGAACTGGGAGTTGGCAGCTACGGTGCTGCAGGAGATGGAGTATCTGGGCGACGGGGGAGGGGCCAGGGGCGCGACGGGGGCCCACTGCAGCCATCCGGGCCTTTCGCCCACCTCGGCTTCCTACTCGGCCGTGATCGATGCCTGCGCGAAAGCTTTGCTGAGTACGGGCGCGTCTGCTACGAGTGGGCTACCCCAGTGGGAGCTAATCTTGAGCAAGCTGGATCGCATGCGCGAGAAGGGCCTGCTTCCCGACTCCAGCTCCTACAACGCGGCGGTCCGCGCCTGTGTGTGTGGATCCGTCAAGCACTGGGCGAAGGCAGTGGAGCTGCTTCAGGAGATGGGTTCTCGGGGCTACCTGGTGGACCAAAGTACGTCGCAGGCTGTGGTGCATGCCTACAATGCGGCGTCTTGTACTGACCAATCGGACCTTGGCGGGGCACACAGCGAGGTCTCGACGCGTGAGAGAGCCGTAGCTTTGCTTCACAGCATGACCGTGGGCGGCTCGCCTTTCAACAGTGACAGCAGCGAATCGTTGCTTTCCCTGGGTCGCTTTCTTTCTTTCAGGCACTTTTGCCCTCCCGTATCGCATCGTCCATGCCCCCCTTGCTCGCATTGCTGTTCCCAACTTCCTTCATCCGGGGAGCCGGCCTTCGATCCCGATCATTTGCAGAACGGTCGGATGCTCAGCTTTCTGGAGGACGTGTCGAGGCCAAGTGGAAATTGCCGGCAATTCACAGCACTACTAGTGGGACTCGAACTCATGAAACGAGAAATGAGACTCAGGAGCTATATTTTAGCTGTGTTTCTTGCACTAGATGTCAGATGTCTCGTATAGGCTCGACCAGCCAAACATCATAAAATAGAGTTAGAGGAAGTGAGCATTCGATGCTCCCCCGGCATGACAATTATATGTTAGGGGCATAAATCTCGAGAAATGTTCCTTCTAAGTTTTGTGCGAGAGTCACCTACATAAAACGAGAAAAGGAGACTCACTAGCTCGAACTAGATGTCAGCAGTAATCTTCGCACTAGGTATAAGGTACTTAGAGAGGAGAGGAAATTTCTGTGGGGCAACGTCGCCACAGCTGTGCACTTCAAGGGATCACATTGTAAGAATTACGTGCAACTTAAAATTGATGAGTTTTCTGAATAAACAGCGTGAGAATGATCCAGATTTGCAGAAAAGTGGGTCAAGTTTACGAGCCGTGAAGTTTGATAATTGTGCGGAACAAAGGTCTTAAACAGTCTCTCCTGTACACCAAGAATAAGCACCAAAATATTATTTTCCGGAGGATTATGGGTATTTGTTCTTCCTTCATCGTGCACAACACAAAGAAAGATATACCATGTTACCAGCTCTATGTGGCGGGGAGGTTAAATGTTTATGGGCCAGGATGGTTGGTGATACAGTAAAAAAGACAAGTGTGATACAAAAGTTTTATGTTTGTGTTTATCGCGTTGAAAAAGACACTAGGTATTTTGAAAAATCAAGATTAACTGAAGTTAAGGGGCGTGCTTTCTCACCAGGACGCACTCAACAAGATATGACAACCGCACCAACTTTCTCCTAGGCGCTTTCGCAATGCGACGGTCATGTATGCGAAGCAACCCACAGTGTGTCAACTTCGTTGCCCATTCACGCCTTCTGACTTTATTGCCTTATCGGACTTTCCGGAAATTGGAATAGACGGGTCCGGGGCGCTTTGGATATCGAAGCTGTTGGAAAGTGCAAGTCGCCTGGCAGCCCCTTCATCACCAGGAATAGGCGCTAAAAAACCTTCGCAAGCCAGCAGAGCGGACAATGACGTTTATAATCGGAATTCGTTTTGTGAGTTGATGGACTTACGTTCCTCCTTCAACGCAGTGCCTCGTGCTCGCTTCTCGGCCGCCCGGTCGGCATCTAACATGTACGAGCCATTGGGCACTGCAGCACAGAACCCCTTCCTCAACCGTTCCGCTCTCAAACTTGCCAACATAGATGCAATAATTCCTCTTAAACCAGTCTTGGTCTCACAAGGCATGGATGTCGAAGACTCTCTCCCTACCTTCACATTTCTAGACCTTTGCGGAGGGCCCGGAGGCTTCTCAGAGTACTTGTTGAGACGACAAGATCTTGTCAAAGAGGTACATGGGTGGGGAATGACGTTGTGCGATTGTAAGTGTGGATGGGACAGGGGAAAATTGGGTGAATGGATTGTGGACGAAAACAAGAAAAATGCGAGAACATTCGAGAGCACCCCCAATGAGGACCATCAGTCGGGCATTTTCCCTTCGAAAAGACGCAAGTGCATGTCAGCTTTGGCATCACTGCAGACAAGAGCCCTTCACTTAGTCTATGGGTCTGATGGAAGTGGTGACCTGTGCCAGCCCGACAATGTTCAGTTCCTTGCCGACTCGATGGCGGTGCGAGTAGACGTTGTTGTGGCGGACGGAGGCTTTGCCGGGGCTAGGGGACGGTTTGATCAGGAGGCTGCCATGCTGCCCCTCTTGATTAGCGAGGCATCCGCGATGGTCCAAACGCTTCAACCGAAAGGATGCTTTGTTTGCAAGTTTTTTGACATGACGTTGCCAGGGACGGTTCAGCTCGTCGCTCTTCTGGCTTTGCTCTTTGAGCGAGTTACCGTCGTCAAGCCAGTAATGAGCCGGCCAGCAAGCTCCGAGAGGTATTTCCTAGGGCAGGGGTTCCGCGGTTTCGACGAGGAGGAAAGCAAGGAGGGCGCGGTTAGCACGCGCCAAGCAAGGGTCCTTCTGAACGAAATGCTCGCCCTGGCAACAGCTGGACAGACCTGCGGGACACCGGTCGACGGGGGAGAGGGGGGGGGGCAGGCGTTGATAACATCGATGCGACAAGCCCTGGCCCGAGGCTCGCCATTTGTTGCTTGGCTGCGTGCAGTGAACGACAAGCTCATGCGCTCGCAGGTGGAAGCGTGCTATGCCATCCATGCAAGGTTGGAAATGGAGGAGGGCGAAGGAGAGGGCGAGAGAAGCGCACATGAAGAGGAAGAGAATGCGATCGATGTAGACAGCTACCGACAAATATGGGGTCTAGACAAGTTGCACAATTCACACAGGGAAGAACAATGAAGACGTGAAAAGTGCACCGTTTAAATGAGAAGGAGACGGGTTGCATTTTTCTTTTCGCCTCCGATGCAATGATACTCACGAGGAGGCTTTGTATTTGAAGTGCTCCCGCGCGATCTTCTCGGGCAGCATCGCAGACATGTCGTCGCAAATCTTCAATTCTTCGGCAAAATGCCTCTCACCGGGCCCGGCACTTGCTCCGTACAGCCTACAGATATGCTCCCGGGCAAAGCCGCGCAACCACTCGTAGGTAGCCAGACTCTTCTTCATTCCTGCCACACGACCCTCGTGGGCCTCCTCTCCCTGGCCCCCAAACACGTGCATGCGACCGTACAGCCGCGCCAAATGAAAGTGCGCGCGAAAGACTGGCTTAAAATCCTCTTTGCTGGGCAGATCCCAGGCTACGTTTTCGACACCAGATGCCTTGAGACCGGGAGAAGAGGTTTCTCGGACGTCTGGCGGCGGAGATTGCTTGTGGTACAGCCTGACGAAGTGCTCGAAGGCGGCGATCGCCAGCCGACAGTATGTGTCACATTTCTCCGCCTCGGCCTTGCTCGGTTCGTACGCCTCCAATGCCTTATTGTCGTCCTCATCGCCACGCGCTCGCCGTCCTGCCTGCGACAGCTTCTCTTCCACCCTCGCGGCCTTCGTCTCCAAAAGCGTCAGGTACACCTCCCCCAGCTCGAAAGACACCACCTTCAGCAGCCCCGCGTACGCCCGAGGATTCAAGTCATCCAGCAGAGGCTGCAACAGCCCGGCGCGGCGAAGGAACATGGCTTGTCGACGCTTGTCGTCCGATTCGAAGACGGCCAGGTCCCGGTAGGCTTTGCTCTGCTCCCGCAACAGGTGCACGTGCTCCGTCACGTGCCCATCCAGGACGAAGTAGCTCAGGGCGGCTGCCAGGTGCTTCTGCGCTTGGAGGAAGACGGGTCGTGCCTGGGCGAATGACGTGATGGAGGGAGGGAGAGGCAAGCGGGAGGGTTGGGCGCAGGTGGCTCCTGCGGGGGAGGCGTCGGGGGCGAGGGGGGAGGACGGGCTCGATAAGGAGGGGAACAGACGCGGGAAGCCGACCAGGAAAGCCGCGGGCCTTCGGGCCTCATTTCTGTCGAGCTCCCCCAAGGCCAGCGCAGCAGCCTCTTCCAGGATGGAGGCGTACAAAACGGCCCACTTTCTGTGGACGCCGGCGACTGAGAGCGCCCGAGCCTCTTCCCTTGCCGTCCCGGGCCCTTCGCCTCGCGCCTTCGCTTCCTCCTCTCTCCTTAAGAGCACGTCGCACGCTTCCAAGCACCAGGCGGCAGCCTCCTTGTCCCCCTGCTCGCCCAGCAGGTAGTCGACGAGGCTCATGCAGTTGCCCACCCACCCGCACACGTCCAGCGTCAACTCCCACTCCAGCTGGCGGGCCAAGGTCTGGTAGCAGTATGAAGCCGAGGCGTCCGCATTCCTCAAGGCCCCGTAGACCTGGGCCAGGTAGTAGAGTGTGTGCGTGTGGTGGCCGTCGATCGGGCGCCGGAAGCTACGCCTGTCGGCGCCCTCAGGCCCGCGGGCGGCTGGTGCCGCGCGGCCGACGGTCTTCATCGGGCCTTCCTCGCTACCGTTCAACTGTGCCGCGGTTCCAGAAAGGGTGGCAGCGGCATTTACAGAAGAGGGACAATAAGGCTCGAGCATGCGGTAAGCGGCCTTGGCGGCCAGCAGGTACAGGCGCGCCCTTCCCATCTCCTCGCGGTCGCTCCACAACAACCCCAGCAAGTTCAGGTCCTCTACGGCGTCTTCAGCTGCCGCAGAGGTGTCTGTACACGCGGCAGATACAACCTCGTTAACCGCCGCGGCACCGGATGGAGAGCGAGGAAAGGCATGCCCCTCATAAGTACCAACCAAGTTACTAATGGCCAAGGGCGGATTCGGCTCTGCCACTACTCCTCCTGGTGGCCCCATGTCCTCTGTCCTCCCCTCCTTTTCCTCTCCCTGCGCGTCCGCCACCTGCGACTCCACCCAAAGCGATAGGCCGGGGAAGAAGATGTCACAAGCCTTGCTGAGATGCATTGTCACCTCTTGCTTCGGTTCTTCCACGTCCAGACCTGAGAAGAGGAAAACTTTAGACCTCCAGTCATGGATTCAGTTCCGCCTTTTGTAACGCGGACGAATTTTAACCTCGCGTCAGAGGAAACACCTTATTTTCACCCTTCTTACCTATTTTTCCCAGTCGGTGGGCTACGCGTGCATGTATTAAGGGGTCCATTTCTGCAGATTTCTCATCCAAACATTTATGCAAAAGGTTGCGGGCCTCATACTTTGATGCGTAGGGCGTCTTCGTGTCGTCCTCGCGAGTGAGTAAAGCATCAATTTTTGCAAAAAAGTCTGTGTAATGGGGCATGGCGACAGGTCCTCTTGGACTCTACGCTTGCTGCTCGCTGTCTTCGGCTCGGCGAGGGGCGACCAAGGAGGCCCGAAAAGGGCCACGTGGACCCAGGTGCAGGATATAAAATCACGTGGACCACTCAAGCACGTGATTTAGCTGCGTGTGGTTTAAAAATTTTGAGCTTCAGTGTGTGTCACACAGGCGCGGGGCCGACCACCTCCGTGCAAGCCGTTATGGTTTTCCGTCTCGGCTTGAGGGGTGCGTGGCCGGCTGCTTCAAGCCTGAGGGGGAGACAAAAAAAGGCACGTCCCTCCCCTGAGTAGAAGGGTCTTGTTCCTGATGGCTACTACCTGCCCTCAAGATATCTAGTTTGATGTGCAACATGCAATGTTCTAAATTGAAGAGGACCTCTGCCTTTTAATATGTATCGCATGCTCTGCGGGCTGATTTTTATGTCCCTACAACTTCAAGTGTTCTGCTTCCAGAGCATTCCTTTTGACACATGGTAGCACGCCAACTAATTCTCGGAAACATTTGGCTACTGCTTTATCTTCCGCTCTACATTATAAGAATTTCTCAATGTGTTCTGCCTGTTGCGCCCGTACACTTTCGCACGTAACATGCTGTCTTTCGTCTTTATTGTACTAAGTACAGCGTATCTACATCCATCACAAACAACTATGCCGTTCGTGGACACTCTACGCCACGCTCTTGAGCAACTGCGAGCCAAGTTTAAAGCAGACGTTCCGCCCCACAAGGTGGGAGACGAAGAGTTGACTGTCGATCCGGCGTTGCAAGGAGTGGAAAAGGAGGTAAGACAAGGGGAGGTTGAGTTTGACGGCCTCGTGCCTTGCATTTAGCAATGGACAGGTAATGTATGCGACTCTATGTAAATGGTTTAACTCCACTTCCCCCCAATTTTTAGCTTCGCATCGCCCTGGACGAGCTGAAGGCTTTCAAGAACGAGGACGTTAACAAATCACTGCACGCGAAGGACCTGCGGGAGCCCCGGGAAATTCTTGGCCACGTGGTAAGTACCTCAAGTCACTCAACGCGTGTTCTTGTACCGTGTAAGACAAGATGCAATATTGAGAGGGCCAGAGGATTGGTTCAACTGGTCACGTAAGCGTTGGGTACCAAGCATGAGCACCACTATTGCATTTTTGAACCTCAGCACTCCTTTTCCCTCACAGGACTCGCTCTATCACGAGGGTAAATTCTGCGTAGAAGGTGTGAAAGGCATCCCACATGGTCAAGCAAAGCTGGCGGATATGCTTGCTGAGGGTCACGAGCTTTTGCACGAGTGCCTTGAGCGGGTCGACTTCTACACGGTGGGTCGTCGTGCTGATACTTTCTATGTCCTTCCGACCTGACGGCTGCCTGATGCTCGTCGCAGCCATTTTTGCTATTACTCACACCCTCTCTTTTGGCGCCCTTGCCCGCATTCTAGGTGAGTGAGCCCCTTCGCCCGCTCCAAAACAAGCTCGACAACGTGCAGCATGCCCTTGAGTCTCTCCAAGACAAGGAGGACTTGCATCCCCGAGACTTGCTCCCGCTTCGACGGAAACTCGCAGAGATCGACGCGCACTACCACGAGGGGCGATTTGAGTCTGCGGGGAGAGAGGGGGAGCACGTGATTGCGGAGGGCCAGGCCGTTCTGGCAGCTTTGCTGAACAAGGCGCACGAGACTCTTCGAGCCCTTCTATTGAAGACGGACTATTACAAAGTAAGATGGAAGGAGGTAGAGGCTCTGTTTCGATACCTTGCCGTCATATGTTTCATTGAATAAGCGGGGGAAATGGTCAAGTTATAAAACGCCATTTGTGAGATGTTGTAATCTCTATTTCCCCCCCTTCCCATTTTTTAATGGCCCCTTCTCTAGGTGGACCAAGAACTCTTTTCCATCCACGACCGACTGGAATCCATTAAGATGCGATTGGAAGGCCTCATGCGTCATGAAAACGTGACCGAAAAAGACCTCTCCTCCCTGCGCGAGCGGCTGCAACACTGTGACGCTGAATGGAAGGAGGGGAAAATCGAACTGGAGTCTGGAGACGTGCCAGCTGGGCAGGCTGTCGTCTCCAGACTTCTTTACGAGACCCACAACTTGATGGCGTCCGTCCAAAATAGGATGCAGGGCTGAGTAAGCGAGGGCGCCGAAAGCCTGAGAGGGAGTCTAAGATTCAGGAAGAAGTAGGAATAGACGTCTCGCGACGCAGTCTCACTCTTAGTGCGGGATACGTAGGGCTAATATTCGAGGCGAGAGAGAGAAATATGGGTGAGAAAGGACTTGTGCAGACAAGGG